AAATCGAATTTTTTAAATAAAAACTTTAAAGTTATGTTAAGAGTCGAAATTACCTTTAAAGATCATTTCAAGGTTGAACCGCTTACAAGTCTAGAAAATGACCTGAAAACCAAAATTGATCGTGGTTTGTTTTTTAAGATATTTGAATTAGTAGTCATTCGTATAAAATAAAATTGTTCACACCAAAGCCTGCGTTCAGTCATCGACATAATACATATATCGATGTCCAGGGCCCACGTTGATTGTGTTTCGACGAAGATTTGAATTTATATAGACGTTTAAATTTTGTAAAAATGGGTTCATCACTGTGAGTTTGATACACAAGTTCTCATACCTTGAATTTTTTTCCTAAACGTTATTAAGCGGTTCGACCTTGAAATGATCTTTAAAGATCATTTCGACTCTTAACATAACTAAAGTTTCTATTTAAAAAATTCGATTTGACCTTCAAATGACTTTGAAGGTCAAGGTCAAGGTGAAATTGAAGGTTACCATCCGATGTCTCCCTTTGAACCCAACAACTTTTGTAAGAGTTGGGTTGGTTGCTCCCCGACAAGATATGTATTCAGGTGCGTAATTTCAAATATTTTGTCCTTGAAATAACCTCTGAAGGTCATTCCAAAGAAGAGCCTCAAGTACCCACCTAAACGTCAAATTTTGCGCTCTTTCCGAATCCGGAGTCAAAAATAGGGGTCTCTGTTTAAAAATTCGATTTGACCTTCAAATGATCTTGAAGGTCAAGGTGAAATTGAAAATCACCATCCGATGTCCCCCTCCGAACCCAACAACTTTTGTAAGGGTTATTTTCGAATTGGTGACTTCCCTGACGATATTCAGGTGCGTAATTTAAAATGGGACACCCTGTATCTGTTATATGTATATATATATATATATATATATATATATATATGTATATATATATATATATTATATATATATAGGGTTGTCGGAAAAGTCATGGCGCATTTTTGCAACAGATGGCGCTAGTTCATTTTTGGAAGTACTAGAGTCATTCGCATCTATGTTATTGCTATGTCATTTGACAGCTGACAGTTCTAGCTTCACTCTAAAAAAAAATTGAGCGATTTGGTTGAGTTTTGGAGATTTTATAACAAGTTGAAGATGGAACACCAAACTGTGCATTTTCGCCATATATTACTGTTTTACTTCCGTAAAGGGAAGAACGCGCGTCAAGCTTGTGAAAAGTTGCGTAAAGTTTACGGTGACAATGTTGTACAAGAACGTCAGTGCCAACGATGGTTCACGAAATTCCATGCTGGTGATTTTGATCTCAAAGACGCTCCTCGGTCAGGGAGGCCTATCAAGGTTGATGACGACAAAATAAAGGCATTGATCGAGTCAAACTCACGTTACACGACACGAGAGATGGCAGAAACGTTGAACATCAATCATTCAAGCGTTCATGACCACCTGAAGAAGCTGGGATACGTAAGCAAGTTCGATATTTGGGTTCCTCATGAACACAATGAAGTTTATTTTACGGCGCGTATAAACATCTGCGATATGCTCATTAAACGTGAGGAAAACGATCCTTTTTTGAAGCGACTGATAATTGGTGATGAGAAGTGGATTATTTACAACAATGTAGTGCGCAAACGGTCTTGGTCCCGACGTGATGATTTGCCTCAAACGATATCGAAAGCAAACATTCATCAGAGGAAAGTTATGTTTTTAGTGTGGTGGGATTTTAAAGGTGTGTTTTTTGAGCTCCTACTAAGGAACCAACAATCAATTCGAATGTGTATTGTCGGCAATTGGACAGTTTGAACGAATCCATCATCTAGAAACGTCTAGAGCTCGTTAATCGTAAAGGAGTTGTGTTCCATCACGACCACACACAAGTTTGATCACCCGTCAAAAATTATTGGAACTTGGATGGGATGTGTTATCACACCCACCATACTCGCCTGATTTTGCGCCGTCAGACTTCCATTTGTTTCGCTCTCTTCAAAACTTCTTACGTGGTATAATGTTCAATTCAGATGAGGCTGTAAATCAGCACTTTGTTCAATTTTTCGTCGATAAAAACAGGTTTTTCTATGAACGAGGAATTTTGAAGTTCACTAAAAGATGGCAGAAGGTTATTGAACAAAACGGGCAAATATATCATTGATTGATATTTGTTTTTTATATAAATAAATGACCTTTGAAAAACAGAAAAAATACGTCATGACTTTTCCGATAACCCAATATATACAGGGTGTCCCGCGTAAGACGTGCCAAAAGGAAAATATAAGTAGAACAGATAAAAGTGAACAAAAATTGTAGATGTCATTTTTCAAATAACCACGTAAAATTTTGAGATATTAATTAAAATATTTGGACATATCAGAGCGCGACGACGCGGCAAGCGGGACATACAGCTCGCCGCGGCCGACGGAAAAAAAATGGACGATTGCTCGCGGGCCTATCTTATAGGCCAGAGAGGTGGGCCGCTTGACTTACGGAAATGGGTAGCTCCGTGTACGTCTGTGTACGTGTGCGCTCGTCTTTTTTCTTCGCCGGCCGCGGCGAGCTGTATGTCTCGTCTGCCGCGTCGCCACGCTCTGATATGCCCAACTATTTTAATTAATATCTCGAAATTTTACGTGGTTGTTTGAAAAATAACCTCTACAGTTTTTGTTCACTTTTATCTGTTCTACTTACATTTTTCTTTTGGCACATCTTACGCGGGACATCCTGTATACACTTACTCAGAATAGGAGCAATCAAATGAACATCGATTATGTGGAGCATTTAGCTGCATGCTACTTCGTGCTCTAAAAATTAATTCTTATAACATATAAGAATAATTTTCTAATTTCTCGTCATAAAAAAATTTAAACTTATTTTTAAACTTTTTTATTTTAACATTATTAATTATTTACAGTCCACCGAAAACAATGATAATTAGCGGGGTTCCGGCCAAAGGGAATGCTGATTTTCCACCAGAAGCTGTGCAACATTTTCATGAGAAACCCACTCCGACGCACGATGCACGACCAGCGCATTGTTCACGTCCCATTATCATCCAACAGCCAAGAAAGTGAACTGCACTTTGCAAATTGCAAAGTTCGCGAGCAACCTCAGTCCGCGAAGTCATTCGTTAAGTTTAATCGGCAGAAAAAAAGATTATAAATATTATATGTATGTGTATGTATATTGTATACACACATACATATATATATATATATATATATATATATATATATATATATATATATATATATATAT